GAGCTTACGAGGACTTGACTTTGAGGAGGACAGAAGCGATGCAAATGTGGGGCGCGTGCGCCAAGGAAACGACTACCGGCAAATTTGTTTTTGAACTTGAGCTTCACGATGCCGCGGCATCGGGGGCGTACTGAAGGGCCAGACTCAAATACGGGCCCATTTCGTTGAACTTTGCTTGAAAAGGGGGCTATTCTTTCATTAGTCTTCCTGCGTTTTGCTTTTGAGGTTGTGAATCATTCTTGAATACACAATTTCACCTGAAAAACAAAAGTCCATCGTCTACGAGCGACGGAGCGACGAACGCTGGGCGTTTCACTCGGCGTCCAGCTCGGTGTCAGCGCAAGACCTGACAATTTGATCGCCGCCCTGCTCACTGCGAGGCTCCAGCGCGTACGGCCAATTGAGCACCTCATCGCTTGGAATGGCGCTGGCAGGGTACTGGACCGTTGTCTTGACTTCTACCCACTTGTCACGCTGCTTTTCGACTTCCATCGTCCACGTCACTTCCTCGTCGGCGTGCTGTTCCAAAAACTTTCGCAGATCGCTCACACTCTTGAACACTTCGGCAGCTCGATGCTGGTCAATCATGTGAGCCATTGCACGTGCGTGTTCCAAGCTCGTGTGCTTCGGCGCGTGGAACTGACTCGCTATGCGATCAGCTGAGCTGAGGTTTGGGTCATAACTCCAAAAGACTGAACATGGAGTCAGTCACAGTCGACGTGCAACACAACATCGAGAAGTCGACTTACTGGTCGCGGTGGCCTTAAACCCGGCAGTGAACTTGTCCATTCCGGCTCGATCCAACACGAACGATCGCGAATCGAGTTGTTGCGCATCGGGCTCGCTGTCCATTCGCGATGTTGTCAGCAGCGCCACGACAGCATTCTCTTGCTCCGCCTCGGGCAGTGCTGCTCTTGCCTTCCGCAGCAGCTTATTCTGATCCTCGTGCGACACTGGCGACTCGACTTGATGCAGCTTGCACTGCAGAGCAAGCGTGACTGGGACAAACTCTCCCTAAAGCATTATTGGCAAATGAGAGACCACCCAAACACTAATCCAATCCACCGCATGTGTCTTGTCTTACTTCTGGCGTTTGCTCATAGAAAATGCTCCAACCGTCAATACCACGGTGATTCTCTTCGCAAAGAGTGACGCGTCCTGAATATGCCCTTCTGGTTGGAGTGGCCACCGGCGAAAAAGCAACTTTGCTCCAAGCCTGGGCATCAACGAACAGCTTTGGAGTGGACGAGCCCGAGACTGCGCCCGGGAAGATACTGTCGACCGACACGTACTGCGTTTTGGAATCCAACTCAAGCGCCTTGGTGACGAGCAGCAAAATCCGCAGATTTAAAATCGCGACACAGAAATATTCCCAGCCTTGCAACTCTGTTGGCAGCTCGGTTTCGAGCTGGTGAAGCACTCGGCGCATGTCATCAACCATGTCAATAGGTCGAATGCGTCCTGTGAAAGCAAATAATCATAGATACCGGTCAGCTCAGCACATGAATCGCCTGTGTAGGAGCAAACAAGTCCATACCGCCGTACAACTGGATCAGCGTAACACGCGGAAACAAAAGGAGGCGGTCAGTTTCACGTGCTTTGAAAAGCACACCAATAGACACGAGCTCGTTCTCCTGGATCAATGTATCAGCAGCAGGGTTATTGTCGAAAAGGCACGATTCCATGAGGCCAACAAAACGCGAATGCGGGAGGTGGGTCAACCCGAGCGTGTCGAAGTGGTGGGGCACGCAGAGCGCAATGACAGATCGAGGCAAACCAGCCACACGTTGAACGGAGCGCATCAAACGCGCATTGTGTCGCCAGGGGCCAAGTTGGGATCGTTCCAAAGCCTGTAAACCCATGTAGATTTGGTCAAGCAACTCGGCGGTGCCAGAACCCGACAATGGAGCAATGGGAACCGGCGCAACAGTCAAGCGTAAATCATCAGCGATCCCTCTCGAAATCGCATCGGTCAGTTGACTAGGTTTGGTGCCAGCGATCAACAGCCAAGTTGGAGTCGAGTAATCGGTACTCAAAAGCTGAAGCGGACCCATCGCTTGAGACCAGAATCGTCGCGCAAGTCGAGTGTCCGCCGATCTCTTCTTTTTGCCCGTTGCGGCTTGAAGGGTCTTGTGATCCGCCAACTGATACTTGGGATCTACATGCGAGTTGAGAATGAAAGTGGCTGAGTCAATTGCAATAAAAATATGAAGCTGCGCCGGATCAATGTTGCGATTCTTCGACTCTGTTGCGCGGATGAGCTCCATAGCGGCCAGAACTGATATGTTGGCCGAGATGTCCCGCGTATTGCACGCAAAGTAGCTGCCCAAAAGCCGCCTGGCAATCGTGTGCTCGGGGTGACGTTGCTCCTCGCTTTCTGCAATCCAGATTGTGTCACTGCAGCCGTTGAGGGCCACAAACAGGCAGAGAAAGTCGGTCTTGGGTAATCCATTTTGTGCTGCGCAAGCTTTGGGTACGATCGACTGGAGTGCCTCCAGACACATACGGGTCTTGCCACAACCAGCAAGTGTTGCAAGAAGTGCAAACGGATACGCGGTTCGGTCAGCCACTTTGTCTCGAACACAGCGACGAAACTGGGCCATTTGCGCTTGTAAGGACTTGATAGTGTCCTCACGATCGACAAGTTGAAACTTGTGTGAAGCCCGTGCCCGAGTCTGCATACATTTTAGCACTCTGACAGTCAGCATCCGCAGAAGCATCCACAATGGACTTTCACACTCCACCCAGCTTACAATAGTTGTCTCCGGAGCAGGACTCAAGTCTGGGTATTTTTCACGAAGTAGTTTGTCAAGCACGTCCGCCTCAGTAATCAGCGCCGAGGGATCTACATCACCCAATCCCCAATCAACAAGAACAGTGAACACACACACACACACACACACACACACACAGTCTTCTTTTGTTGGTTGAAAAATTGCATTGCAATTTGGGACGACTCCTGGTAATACCTTCCAGCCCTCTTCACCAACATTTCTCCCCCCCCCCTCCTCTCCGCGTCATTTCGATGACGAGTCATTTGCTGTTGTCTGTTTCAGCTTGGTTCATGCTGCGCGTCCCACAAGCACCTTCTGGACACGCAGTCGCGTTTGTCCGCTTCATGGAACCCTCGCGAATCACTGGAACCGCAACTCGAATTGACTTTCGGACGAAGCTTTATGCTTCACACTGATCACCTCCCCGCCGCGACACACTCGCTATGTCATGTTGTTGGTTTGGCTATTTCAGGTTGCTAGTTGCGACCCACAGGCATTTCTAGACGCGCCTCGGCGCGTCAGCCGTTCGCGGAACCAACTTTGAAACCGCTGGAGAACCGAACTAACCACAAACCGACATCGTCGCTTCCCGCCCTTCTTCAATGGATATAAATTTCCCAAGGCCTGTAGTGCACGAGCATACAGGCTCGCTAATGCTATGTCATATGACCAGACATGGCTCTCTGCCAATTTTGTGTCTCCAAGCTCCTTACACCCATGTCCATGCTCCCGCTCCTTTCTCCGTGGTTTTTGAGCATTTTGATGCTTTTCCACTCTCTCCTCCCAATAAACTTAATACAAAAAAAAAACACACACACGCACAGAAAGTCAGTTCTGACCTGAGTTTGGCATTGCGACATTTGCTTGCCCTTGCGTCACGGCCGTCAGGGAACGCTGTGCATTCTTCATTGCAGTCAGCTGCTGTGAAGCGCCGTGGGATGCGTTGTCGACAACTTGTTGATTCTATTAACCAAACGGCAAAGTTTAGAATTCGGGCGCGAAAGTGGACAACATTTTGGCATCGTCACCCGTTGCCGAAGCACAACATGACTGCGGTGGAAACTCTCAAGTACACATTCACGCAATCGCGTTAGAGAGCAGAACGGGCGTCAACAAAGGCTGGCAAAAAGCCACGGGCGGGAACTGCCGAGACACAAAATCTGACTAAATTTGGAACATCAACAGCAAGCCGCTTACGTTCGCTCTGGCTCGTTTCGTCGACTGGCTAGCGTCAACATCGTCGAAGGAAGCTGCGGACGCGGTACGCGCGTTCGGCTTCGGATCGGCGGCTGATGCGGGTCGATCCATTCGTGAGTTCGGTTTGGACGACATCACAAACAGGATAGAGACTGAGCCGAGACGCGACGCTTTAGGAAGATGGAATAATTGTAGTTTCCATCGAATTGGTTGTTGTTCGGAAAGAAGCGAATCGAAGTCAGCAATGTCGATTCATTGATCCGTCCGTCCACCGGGTTCAGCGAGCACTTGTAGGTTTGCATGGGGGAGAACAAGTCATTCAGCTCGAAACTCGAAATGCACATCGTTGCTCTTTCAACGACGCCCCCGGCTTTCGAACCAGAACAATACGCCTAAATCCCTACGGGTTCCATAATGAATGGTAAAATGGTAATCATGAGATATCACCATAATCGACCCACCATTGTGATCGACTTGATGTGGCCAATAATAGTGTCAGAGGAGTGGCGGTGCTCAGATGAGCGGTTTTCTCAGAAAATCGAAAAATCAAAATGGCCTCGAGGCGACCGCAAAACAGCGCCACAAGCGTTCTTCCAGGACCAGTGCAGCAGAGCATCATAATCTTTGCTCAACTTTGCACCCCCCGCATTTTCGAGATCGAGCACACCGACTGCCTAGGGTGCATCGCGTACTATTACGGCGAGGAAGCGCGCAGGATAGAAACACTGTTTTGACCCCCAGAAGAACGCCACAACGCCGGTCGCCATTGCCGAGCTCGATTTCCGACGTGTCCAGTCGGTGTCGGACCGCGCACTTTTCAGGGGTGATTACAGATGATATTTACAACCGTTTTGGCTCAATGGCGGGGCGATCGCGGTGGGGAGCGATTTTGTGTGAAGCTGGATCTTTACCACTTTGGGCTGGATTGAGCCACTCTTTTCTGTTGTTCTTCAGAGCCATAGGTCTCAGGTCGATTCTTGTACTTTTCCGTCCTCACGAGACCGACCAGACCTGCAACACACACACACACGTCAAGCAATTCATCCAAGCATAAGAACCCGACACACAAGAGCCAGCGAGCGCACGAGGCGAGATGGAGGAGGACGAGGAGATCCAGCCGCAACCAAGCTACGAGACATGCAGTGTGCGGCTGGTGGTCCTTCACGACCTCGTTCCCGACGCCAGCCAGGATCGCTTCATGGATCTGGATGTACCTGTTGCCCAGCCAGAGGCGCTGCCAACGTACGGCGATGTGGAGCGAGCCTTGCAGACCCATGACTTTAGAGAAGTTGCCTTCCGCCCAAACCCTCAGTTTTGGTGTCCAGTCGTTGGCGTCAAGAACAAGTTCTACCCGTCAAACAAGACGATTGCACACCCCGAATGCGTTCATCTTTCTGTCAGGTTGCGTTGCCCCTGTTGCAAATCCAACATCCCGCGGTCGCGATTTCACAGCGCGAACAAAACTTGAGATTGTCTTCCGTGCAACCCGCGTCCACCGACTTGGCCGACGACGAAACTAGCGTAATGCAAGATGATAGGGACGACATTCTTGAATCTCTTAACGACCAAGACGGGCACGACGAAAACTGCCGCTCAAGAACGCCTCGGAAGCGCAGGGGAGTCCATCTCACCAAGGAGGAGCGAGACAGACTTCCGCAGTGGAGCCCTAGTACGACGCTCATTCCTGTTCGAACACGCCGTTGGTATTGCTTCAATAGACGCGATCCGTCGAGGCCGCCTACGACCGTGCCAGACACACCAACTCTCCAACAACGATTTATTCGCGCCTGCTCCAGCAAGAAGCGAGTTGACAACAACTTTCAGTTACGTCCGGAGCTCGGCGCCGGATCCTGCAGTTTCGGCCTGAGATTGACGGAGCTTGGCCAACACACGCACGGCGAGCTGCACCTTATTGGGTTCAAGCTCGAGCAGATGGGTCGCCACGACATGGCTTGCACCGACGGCTCGCTCGCTTTCAAGCAGCGCGCGCATCCTGAAATCAAAGAGTGGGTCATGGATCTGGTGCGCAAGGGGTGCTCGGAGGCGTCCATTGTAGCGCAGTTGGAAGGGCCAACTCTCAACCCGCCGCCTCGCCCTCTTTCAAGTTGGAACGTACCGTACACTTCTGGTCGCTGGTATCCCACCAAAGACGCAATTCGCATGATGATAGTCAACTCAAGCAGCGAGAAGCTACATGGAACCGACCAGCAGCGCATCGACCAATTTCTCGCGTCAACCTCGTCGTATGCCTGCTCTCACCCTCACTCGCTCTACCAAGATGGGCAGTGCCCCGGCGAAAGCCAATACGGCGACAAAAGCGATGTCATTTATCATCAATTTGTTCACTGCGACTGCCAGAGCTGCCTCGAAATCCCCCTGAGGGAGTCGAACATTCTGATTTTAATGACGCCTTGTCAGCGGGCAACGTGGGACGCCCTTCGTCCCAAGGTCCTGTTCCTGGATTCAACCTTCTCAGTCAACCGCTACGACTGGGCGACAACAGCACTCGTTGCTGCTGACGAATCAGGCGCTGGTGTTGTGCCGCTGGCGTTCATGATCTCCGACAGAGATCGCGAGCATGAATATGCGCGGTTCTTGTCCGAGGTCAAGCACGCCGTAGGTGAAGCGTTTAATCCGGTGCGCATCGTCATCGACAAATGCGGCGCTGAGCGAAACTGCATCAATCAGGCGGTGCCGGGTGTGCAGGTGGCAACTTGCTGGTTTCACGTCTGCCAAGCGGTGGAGCGCCAGTACCCGGGCAGACTAGATCTTCTCTCGTGTATGGCTAAAATGCGGTATGCCAGGAATGCACAAGAGCTGAAGGACGCGAGCAACAGCTTGCTCAATGCCGCCGGCGAGTTCCAAGGTTATTTTCTGTCTCAGTGGCTCAACGAACGAGATATTAAAACCTGGACGCTCTTCCACCTTGGCTTGGTGCGTGATGCGCTGGATCAAGGCCACACCAACAATTTGATTGAGCGGTAAGCTTGTGATGATTGTGAGTCGCTTGTCCCGTGCCGAACTTTGGAACCTTGTTGACATGTCATTGCGACTTGCCTCCCCCATAGCTTTTTCGGCACGTTCAAGTACAAGTTTCTGAAAGGTTACCGCATGCACGATTTGGCAGGTCTCGCAATCAGGATTGTTCGGGACACGAACCAGCACTTCTGTTTGCAACGCCAACGCCAGCTACTCGACAAGCCGAATGTCGCCTTCCTTCCAAAGTTCCGCTCCTTACTGCTTGAGAAAGAGATGCACGCAGAGAAGCTCGTGGAAACCGGTCAGGTGTTGGAGCTTCATCGCTACTTTGGTGTAGGACTTGTTCTGCCTCAGCGGACGCTTTCTGAGCTTGATCTACTCCAAATTCGCGAACTCGCAAACGCTCACCTTGAGCCATTTTATCAGACGCGTGGCATGCCCTTGACTGAGGGTTTGCAGCAGCTGCACGAAGCGCTGAAGCAACAGTACCCAGATGTTGTGGTCGTTGGTGTCGAGCGGCGCTTTTGCAGCGCCATGCACGATCACGCTTTCATTTGCAGCCATATCCGTGCCGTCGCGCGGCACTTTGGAGGCATCGAGAACTTTCGTCTTCAAATCCATTCTCTCTTCGAAGAGCCACCAGTGTGTCCCGTGTCCCGCTCAGCACCCGTCAATCCTGCAAGCGAAACTGCTGTGTCCGCAGCCAATACTGCGTATGCCGATGATGCCCTGCCGACTGGCGCAACCGACATGGCCGTAGACGATCAGCTTGATGCAGACGGACCTGCTCGCACCTCTGACATGGCCGTAGACGATCACCTTCCCTCGGGCCCGGATGCAGACGGACCTGCTGACCGCACCTCGGACCTCCCCGCCGAGCTCGATCCGAATCACGGCGCGTCACCTTCTGCGCGTAACTCCGATGATGCTCCAGAGCACAGCTCTGGACTTGTTGAGACGGTGGCCAGTCCCGACGACCTGGTGGACGAGCTCTCCAAGCTGTTCGAGAAAGGACTCGAGCGTCTCAAGACCATGGCTCAGGGCGATGAGTTGCAAAGCCTCGTTCGCCAGCTCACACGCAATTGCAGCAACAGCATGCGGAATGCGACAGGTCAGCGAGGGATTCTTTCATTAGATACCCGGCGCACGCGTGGTGCAACTCGTAAGGCTGCCAAATCTACCCGAGCTGCCCAAGCCAAGGCAAAGCGAACTGCTGCTGCCAAAGCCAACCGAGCAGCAGTAGCAGCAGCAGCAGCATCAGCATCAGCATCGTCAGCCTCAACCGTTCTTCCAGGTAACGCAACTGCATGGCGACCAGTTCGTGGACACGACGCAAGAAGTCTGGAGTGAAGGGGCGGCCCAAAGCTAAGCATCGTGTTCCTGCTGCACTTACCCGAGAAGTCGCAAGATCCTTTTGCGCCAAAGACAGTCAAGCATTCGAGAGCGCAAGGGCGGCGGTGACTGCGTACAACACCCAACAATAGTAGTTTGTCGACTACATCCCGCCTTCTCGCAGCAATCGCGGTACTCGAGATCCGTGGGGCGACACTACCCCTTCATTTGCTGATTCCGATCCCACATTTGGGAATGCGAGTGATGGTGCACGTTCAGCCAGTCGGAAACGACCTCGATTGGAGCCAGAGGCTGACCCGCAGGAAACGGAACCAGCGCAACCAACAGAGGATTGGTTTGAACATTTTGCCCCTCAACTGCGGCCGCCTGGAGGGCGCTCAGCGGCCATCCGTGCCCGCGACACAATCCGCCGGTTTCCACGCTACGACACGAGTCGGGATGACGATGCAGACGTGTTTGAGGCCCAGCCTGGGGAGATAGGGAGACGATGACTTTCGGGTCCCTCTGGAGGAGGGGGGTGCGCGTTCAGACGGCTTGAAAAGTTTGATTC